TGTGAGCAGGTTACTGCTTCGATGACTGCAGCTGTTGCACAGTTTGTCCCATCCAAAGTTTGGGAAACGAGGCCTTCCGATCCGGTATGGTGGACGCCTGAATGCACCCAGACCGAGAGGGAGGAGGAGAAGTGCTGGTACGACTGAAGAAAACACCCTTATGACCCAGCACTTCAGCAGGCATTCACCAATTCTGTGACTGTAGCGATCGTCACCCAGTTCCGATCAAGACGTGCAAAGGAGGACAGCCTCTGTCGCAGCCTTTTAACTGGGTCCCTCAGAGACAAACAGTGGAAGACGAAGTTGAAGAACGCTGCTGGCAACCGCACACAGCCCGAAATTCCCCTAATTGTCGACTCTGATGGCCCTGATTGGGCAGCGAGCTCAGAGAAAGCAGAGGCATTCGCTCGCTTCTTTCTCGAAGAAATGTAGCGTTGCCGGTATGAACCTTGTGAAGGCTGACCTACCGCACCCTGCTCCCTCAGATGCTCCACCTCTTCTCACCATCCGCTTCTGCCCAGAGGCTGTGCGCCGCCTCCTGGCAAGGCTCAACGTGTCCAAGGCTACAGGGCCTGAGGGTATGATGGTATGTCTGCTCGCGTCCTTAAGGAATGTGCTCACGAGCTCGCAGAGCCACTGTCCAAGTTATTTGCTTTATGCTTCCGGTCTGGAGTTCAACCTAGGATGTGGAAGACGGCCAACGTGGTTCTGATCCACAAGCGATCTTCCCGCTCAACCCTTAAGAACTACAGGCCCGTATCTGTACTGTGCATAATCTTGAAAATCATGGAAACTCCAGTAAACAGACACATCGTGAACTATTTTGAGGACCACCATCTGCTCACGTCGCACCAGTTTGGATTTCGCAGAGGCCTCGGAACATCAGACGCTTTGCAAGCTCTCCAAACTGCCTGGGTAAGCGCTGTGGGCTGTGGAGGGGCGGCTCGTATCCTTGCTGTTGACATCGCTGGAGCGTTTGACTGTGTCTCACATATCGGCCTCCTCCACAAGTTGCGTAGCCTAGGCATCGATGGTCCGCTCTATGGCTTGCCTCATACCTGGACACCCGTTCCTTACAGTGCCTCATTGGAGGGTGTACGTCAGCTACGTATACGACCTCCGGTGGAGTCCCCCAGGGAAGCATTCTTTGTCCAATGCTTTTCCTGGCGTACGTCAACGACGAGCCAGACGTTCTCGCTGACGGCGCCAGCTTGGAGACCTATGCTGATGACACAACCTTATACAGCTTAGTCACCTCCCAGCAGACCCCGGAAGTCGCAGCGCAGTCACTGCAGGTGTCCGTTGACCCACTGCACGAGTGGGGCCATACGTGGAAAGTGACTTTTGAACCAACTAAATCCCAGGCCATGACAGCCACCCTCAGACGCGCCAGCTTAGATCTCCCCCCCCCCCCCACTCCTGTTTGGTGGAACACTGGTGCCCGAGGCAACCAGAGACAACCACATCTTTGCAGCACAAACTGGCTCTGGGCAGTCGATTCCCTATGAATAGTATGATGCTATGACAGTTTCTCCCCCACACTCGCTCGTGTTAAGCCTTGGGTTTTTCGCATCTTTCTGACCTGTACAGCTCTATCTTCTTTTTTTTCTTTGTTTTTGGTGCGTGTCTTTGGCCGTGACGCCGAGACCTCAGGTCAGCAGAGTCATCAATGCCCCACCATCACTGCTGCGTCTCGGCACAGCGCCTGCTCATTACTTGCCAGTTTGTCCTAGTCTCCGTACCATTGTCTTTCCTTATGCTTTTCAAAGCTGGTTATGTCAACATAGTAGAAAAAATCCAGCGTGAACCTTTCTCAGTCGGGATCTGCATAAGACAGGAAATGGCTTTCCTCTTGAAGCGCTTATGGTGATACTTACCTTAGCGATAAACCCACCAAACATGCAGTATATGTATTGCTTGGTGATACTGGCCCCAGTGATAAGCCAGATGGCTCAATGTGCATAGAAATACACATCTTCATGCAACTCAAAATGTGTATAGAAATACACATCTTCATGCAACTCACAATGTGAATAGAAATACACATCTTCATGCAACTCACAATGTGCATAGAAATACACATCTTCATGCAACACTCAATGTGCATAGAAATACACATCTTCATGCAACTCACAATGTGCATAGAAATACACATCTTCATGCAACTCACAATGTGCATAGAAATACACATCTTCATGCAACTCACAATGTGAATAGAAAATACACATCTTCATGCAACTCACAATGTGCATAGAAACACACATCTTCATGCAACTCACAATGTGCATAGAAATACACATCTTCATGCAACTCACAATGTGCATAGAAATACACATCTTTATGCAACTCACAATGTGCATAGAAATACACATCTTCATGCAACTCACAATGTGCATAGAAATACACATCTTCATGCAACTCACAATGTGCATAGAAACACACATCTTCATGCAACTCACCACTACATTGGGGCACTGAGGTTAGATTTCCATGTCCTGAGCACATTGGAGTGGCATCTCCCACTATACCATAACCTTGTCTGCAGGAATATGTAACACGTTCGGTGTAGCGGATCGAAGACCCGCTGACAGAGCCATTCGCAATGGTAGGTACAGAGCATGAAATAGCTGCACATCGAATGAACACAACAGAGATGACAAACCGACAGGACGACTTAGAGAAATCAAAGCAATTGCCAGTGACAGCAGCAAGATTCGACTGACGGGTTGAACACCCCGGGCATCCCAGTTTATCTAGGCAACACATTGTCTCTTTTCATGAGAAGGGTCTTTGCAAAATGATTGGAACATGATTAGGTCTGACGCTCAATGTTCAATCAGAAACGCCTTGCACCAAGAGAGCATAACTCGCATACTTTCTTGTACGAATACAGGATTGCAGCGGTCGCAATCAGACATGTCATAGGTACAAGTATAAGATTGAAGGATGACTTACGGATTTCACAGATGACATACCGCTTGTCGTATTGTGGAACTTCCCCACCATAAGTGTCATTAACTTTATTGGATGGTAGCGGCAATCCTCTCCATGCTATAAGATCCCTATTTGACAATCCTTTCCAACAACCAGCCTGGAACGCCATCTGTGAAAGAGTCGATCCTTTATAAAACTGGCATAGTTTCTGAGCGTCAGTGTAGTTGAGTATGAGACCCACACGGCTAATTGTTGTTCTTCCTCTAATAGCAGGGCAAAGAGTACTTGTGTTCAGTTCTGTAAGCATGCCCATAGACAAAACAGTGACCAATCATTTTCTTCCTATCATACAGCCCATCTGTTCATAGCAGATACAAAGTGCAAGTTACTCAGAGGGCAAAGGGATTGAACGAAAAAGAAAGCGAATGCTAAACATACCGCCCAAATAGTAACTCTAAGTCGACAAATATCCGGCCCACTCTAATTTCGTTCTTCCAGGGCTAAAACGCATTTGGGCTGCAACAACTTTTCGCCCTTGTCTGCTGCTGCTGCTGCTGCTGCTGCTGCTGCTGCCTGTACACACTGTCACACTGCAAAACAAATTTCGGCCACGACAAACTTTCGGCTGCATACTATCAGGTCGAAGATAGCCAAAAATAAATATGCACCGTGTATTGTATTGACTCACAGTACATATAAACTCCCATCTTTTTCCTGCCACTGGTGACAGCAAGGTTGTGTGCTGGGTTGCCAAGATGGCAATGCGGCTCCATACTCAGTAATGATGGCACTGCTGCTCCATACTCAGTAATGATGGCACTGCTGCTCCATACTCAGTAATGATGGCACTGCTGCTCCATACTCAGTAATGATGGCACTGCTGCTCCATACTCAGTAATGATGGCACTGCTGCTCCATACTCAGTTATGATGGCACTGCTGCTCCATACTCAGTAATGATGGCACTGCTGCTCCATACTCAGTTATGATGGCACTGCTGCTCCATACTCAGTTATGATGGCACTGCTGCTCCATACTCAGTAATGATGGCACTGCCGCTCCATACTCAGTAATGATGGCACTGTTTCTCCATTCGCAGTACCGGTAATGACGGCACTGCTGCTCCATACCCAGTAATGATCATGCAGCCCCGTGGACACAAAGCGGCGATTCCTGACGCATGCTGTGGTTAATACGCACTCTCAAGGTCCCCCAACTGCCAAAACCGTGTTGTGGTCATTGATTGCAAATAGCCATGGACACAGTATGCGGTCCACGAGATTGGGCATGCTGCCCGGACACCTGCTCCCTCCTTTATCATCAACACTGTTTTCATAATTTCATTCATCAAAATGATCTTCTATCATCTTTGCTATACATCTAGCAAATCCTACTCTTGCCTGATAGTTCATAATCAGAACGCTTGGTCAACGCCTTGTCAGGGATCCTAATTTTTCTCTTCACTATTTCTTCCTATTTTCATCGTTTTACTTCACATGAGACACCCTGAGCAAACAACGGTAATGCTATTTTTACGGTACCCGTACCTTGACCACCCAAATAGCGTTGAAGCTGCAGCGTAAAAACGTTATGGTGGCTAATTTATCGTTGTGACCAACAGTAGACCCTCTACGTTTCTTTGGCCAAATATTGCATAGTCCGCATGCATTTCACCTTGTATCGCATATATGGTGACATAAATGTTTGTACTGCGCGAAGTAAAAGCTATTCTCGTGGCAACAGTGTACTAAAAAATAGCGTGCATCTTGCTAAAGGTCGAGCCCAAATCACGGTATTTTCCCCCTTACAAAAATACCCTTACAAAAATACCAAGTTTGAAGAAGGGCTGAGGCTTCCTGCAGCTTCATCTGTGAAAAGAATTCGGGTGGACACACCCATTCCCATAGCGCTGCACATCACATCCGAACCAGTTCCGTTATTCGACCCGTGGTAGCAGCGTGGGACAGCCCAACGACTCGAGTATCTATTGTATTGGAGCGCATCCTACAGCAGCTCATTCAATTTGTCCCGGCCCACCTGGCTAACACGACGGAAGCAATAACCCACATGTGTGACGCATGTCCGGGATTGAACGCCCCCGATGGCACCATTGTTATGTCCATGGATGTAGCCGGGTTATATCCGAGCATACCTATTCGGGAGGGCGTTCAGGCAGTGGTGGATATGCTGCAGCGGTATTCCCAGCGGATTGACATGTTTGGGCTGAGTGTGAGCGGAGTACGGAATCTGCTGCTGTTTGTTCTCAGCCACAACTATTTCAGATTCGGCCATCAGATCTATCACCAAGTGGACAGGGTTGCAAAGGGTAACAATCTTGCACCCCCATTTGCGATTCTATTCATGCATACGGTTGAGGCCAGGCTTCTGCAGGATTCTCCGTTACTACCGCTCCTCTACAAACGCTACATCGACGATATCCTGCTGCTATGGACCCACGACAGAGAGAGCTTGATGCGGTTTGTGCAGCACTTCAACTCTGCACACCCAAGTATCAACTTCACATATGAGCTCAGCGAGGTGAGTGGCTCCATAAATTATATGGATATCACAATTATGATCCAGGAAGACAAGCTGGCATACAAGCTGTACCAGAAGGCATGTGCTAGTGGTCTACTCGTTGATTATACTTCGGCAGTTCCCCACCATATCAAATTGGCAGTTGCTTCGTCACAATTCCTAAGAGCTCAGAGGCTCTCATCGAATACCAGAATGCGTGCAGAAAGTGAAGCGAGGGTTCATGAACAATTAAGATTGAACAATTACCCAGAGAGAATCATTGAAGAGGCACGCACTGCCTCCATAAGGCCAAAGCGTCGTCGCCATGCCAACCCATGCTGAGCATTTCTAAAGCTTCCATATAAGTCAGATAAAGTACATCAAGCAGTGAATAAAGCAATCAGAAAGTATAAAATTCCGGTTAGAGTCGTATATGAGCACACTGGTAGCCTGAGGCGCACATTGTGTCGTTCCGCCCTCGTTCCTCCTCTATGTGTCAAGGCTGCAAATCCGCTACAACCGAAAAAGAGAGGTCGCCCAAAGGGGCCGTGTATCTCGTGTATATCCGGGGGACAGGATGTATGTATGCAGAAGAATGTTGTATATCAGCTGAAGTGCAAAGAATGTCCGGAACAATATGTTGGTGAGACTGGCCGCTTTCTGGAAACTCGCCTGGAAGAACATAATGGTGAGGCAAGAAGCCAGGAACTCGACAAGCCATGGGGCCAACATTTTCGTACCACTCACCCTGGATGTAAGCTTAACTATGGGCAAAGTGCATTCTCTGCAGTTGAAGTAATAGGAAGAGAGCCTGATCGAGCCCGTCGCAAACTGAGCGAGGCGATTGAGATTCGTGATGCCCAGCCCCATGTGAACATAAGCACCGGATGGGATTTGTTGTGAATTTTCTCAGCTTCCCCTGCTGCTACTTCAATATCACTGAATAATTATAATATGAGGCGGGCCACTCAAATCCATTCTGTTCATGATGCCTCGCCGCGTCCCTGGTGGTAACAGTTTGGCATGGAAGTTTAACCTCATAGTGCATTGACTCATGGGGCTCCGTGCTCCCCTCCTGTGCTAGAATTAACACCATAATTATTTGGCATGTACCCTCACTTCGTCGAGTACAACGGCGGGCTCTCCTTCTCCGTGATGTGCACAGTTGCACCTTCTCTCCTCCCCCCCCCCCTCTGTATAGAGGTGACATAACTCGCATCACTTTATTTTTTGGCGCTACACTCTGCGTAACGCCATTCACAGAGCACAATGCGCGCTACCTTCTGCTGCTTCTCCTCCGTGATGTGCTAGTTGCGTCTTTTCTCTCTCTCTGTCCCCCCCTTCTGCATACTAGGTGACATAATTCGCATCTTTTTTTGGTGCTACACTCTGCGTATATACTGCTCTTGTGTGGCTTCCACGTTATTCATTGTTATTACCTGACGATGGCCAAGTGCCGAAACGTTGTAAAAATAACGGAACTGGTTCGGATGTGATGTGCAGCGCTATGAGAATGGGTGTGTCCACCCGAATTCTTTTCACATACAAAAATACCCTTACAAAAATACCCTTACAAAAATACCCTTACAACATAACGTTGTTTGCGAAGGGTGTCTATTGTCTCTACTCTTTTACATTGCACGAATAAAAAAATAAAAAAAGGAAATTATCGTATCCGTTCCCGAAGGGAACTCACGACGGCCGCTAACACCCGATTAACCCTAAATACGCATGAATAAAGTATACACAAATGTTGATTCAGCTTGTCTTATTGATCGTGGTTATCAAATTGCTGAATATGTTGTCATATTGTGCATAGCGATTTCTTGCTTTGTGACTTCAACCTTTTACGTCTCTCACACTCAGCATCATCATGCGAGAAACCTTCTGGCTCTCTGTGCTGCATACGGCCTCACCAACATCGTCCACTCTGTCATTCATGTATGGCCAAAGTGTCCACTTTGCACTACTACTATTATTATTATTATTAGAAAGGAAAAGTACATATGGAAACGAGTTAAGAGTAACTCTCCACCACTGTAACTAGATACTATATACAGTCAGAAAGTGCAACAACTAGGCACAAAACTGACAGAGTACTGAGACATTCGACGTCCTGACACCTAGCTTCAACACATCTCCGTAGCGCTAACCGACAGCCTTCCAACTTGGAAGGTTCAAGGTTATGGAAAGACCAAAGAGGGGAAGGCAAGCGCAACGAAAACGAGCACAAGCTACAGTCCCAACGGAACAAAGAATGTCGATTGTCACTGGACGATGACGAGACCAGTAGGCGATTTGACAAAGCGGTCTAACTACTATTCGAAGCAGCAAAGCAGCACACCACCCAACTTGGGTGGGTCAAAAATATCAACGATAAGTTAAGAAAGGGGAAGCTTTGCGAGAACGAATTGTACAAGCCGAAATATAAACTCCTACAGTACTTCTCATGCATGACATTGTGATGGACTAGTTGACTACAAAACAAGTTGTTTCACACGACGTACGTTTCGCCGTATGGTTCGTGACGGCTCATCAGGTGTGCAATTTGCAATTTGAACCTTCCAAGTTGGAAGGCTGTCGGTTAGCGCTACGGAGATGTGTTGAAGCTAGGTGTCAGGACGTCGAATGTCTCAGTACAGTTTTGTGCCTAGTTGTTGCACTTTCTGACTGTATATAGTATCTAGTTACAGTGGTGGAGAGTTACTCTTAACTCGTTACCATATGTCCTTTTCCTTTCTACTTTTATTATTGGCTCAATACCCGAGTTTCAAATTGCACACCTGATGAGCCGACACGAACCATACGGCGAAACGTACGTCGTGTGAAACAACTTGTTAAGGCAACATTGAACACACGCTGTTTGGGACCAGAGGTGTCCAGCCGGCACACACCCCGTCGGCTCCAGGCATGGCTTAGCAGTAGCAGAGCTCCACGTCTACCCTTCAGAGTCAGACGTACAAGAAATGTGCGACTTTTAGTACCGGTGTGTCCGTTTGCTTGCCGTTCTGAACCACCATGCTCCGCTTGAGCAATGCATTGCTAGAAAAATCAAGCACCTATCACCATTGGTCTGACAGGGATATTTACAAGTTGAACCAGCGCAAGCACCAAGTGCACCGCCAGTAGCTTGGTGATGGAGTTAAACTTGGAGCTCATGCAGCGTTTAGTCGTGCTGGTTACAGTTCGGTTTCGTCTTGTTTCCTGAAGCCAAACTGGGTGAGAGGTAAGTGCGTTGCTATGCGATTGGACAGATGATAATGTACTATTTGTTCTTGTGTTTTGATATTAGACCGAGCAGGGAGATGGGTCGCTAGTTGGTAGGATCTAGGTGCCCGACTTGGGGATGGGTGTAATAGTTGCGTCTTTCCAATCCTGTGGTATTTCTCCAGTTCTGAAGGACAGATTGTAGGTACTAGTGAGGGATGGGGTGATTGTAGGTGCTAGTGAGGGATGGGGTGATTGTAGGTACTAGTGAGGGATGGGGTGATTGTAGGTACTAGTGAGGGATGGGGTGATTGTAGGTACTAGTGAGGGATGGGGTGATTGTAGGTACTAGTGAGGGATGGGGTGATTGTAGGTACTAGTGAGGGATGGGGTGATTGTAGGTACTAGTGAGGGATGGGGTGATTGTAGGTACTAGTGAGGGATGGGGTGATTGTAGGTACTAGTGAGGGATGGGTGATTGTAGGTACTAGTGAGGGATGGGGTGATTGTAGGTACTAGTGAGGGATGGGGTGATTGTAGGTACTAGTGAGGGATGGGGTGATTGTAGGTACTAGTGAGGGATGGGGTGATTGTAGGTACTAGTGAGGGATGGGGTGATTGTAGGTACTAGTGAGGGATGGGTGATTTCATTCACAGTTTCAATGACCAACATAGAAAATAAGGCAGCTGATAATCCCTTTCGCTTTTCAGCCAATAGCACCTACTTCAGTACATAATATGATGCAATCTGTGGACTTCGCATCTCAAGATCTACAGCCACGTTGATTAGAGGCACAAAATACATTTACCGGAACCAAACAAAACAAAATTTGGCGGGAGGGCGAAAATTCTGGGCAAGCGTGGACAATAAACAATCTTTTTCTACTTGGCTTTAGAGTCCCATGTTTGCCTCGTTCTTGTGAGGATAGTGTACTCTGGGGAATATGGTAGCCATGATATTCAGCATAGCAGTTTGCCCTTACTTACCATTAAACCTGCAGGTGACACCAGCAACCAATGAATTGTGTTGGATATGATCATATCGTCGTGGAAAACAAGCTGAAAAAAAACCAAGCAGACAAAGGAACAATTGAAAAAAAGACCAAGGAACTACAAGTTTAAGAGAGGTCCTACACTACGTACAGCTGAACAACTTTACATTAGTGGGCGGGAAAAACGCGTGGATTTGCGGATTTGCACTCCACTTACGGAATGTTGTCTACGTAGAGTATATAGATAGGGCTTGGATAACGTACATGTAACTGGCCTGTAAGTGAATTGGGGTACAAATTTAATTAAGGCTGTGATCGTTTCGTCGGATCCAGATCCAGATCCATCGGATCCACTGGATCTGCAATGATCGATTGGTCGAATCCGGATCCAGATCCTTCGGATTTGGATCCGAGCAACCCTGCCCTGGGAGCAGGGTTGACTGGATCCATCGGATCCAAATGTGACCTTTGTGCGTATATGGTGAGTAAAAATCATTTTTATACTCATTGTCGTACGTCTAGTGGACTTTTGTTGACTTTTAGTACAACGCGGGCGATCAGTACGATTTGTGCCTTTTTTGGGTGACCTGTCGGCGCCATTTTTTACTTCGTCAACATGGCAACAGCCAAGGTCCGCAAAAAAGTGTTAGGTTGATTCTGAAGGATCCGACGGATCTGAGATTTGGATCTGGATCCAACCAAAGGATCATAGCCTAAGACTCTCTCCCCAGATCGATCTGGTCGTACATTATCCCCTTTTTTTTGCATCCTGAACTATCAACAGATTATTGTAGCCAGAAGATGCACGAATCACACGAAAAAAAGGAATGAAAATCCATCCACAAACAGCAAAATTACGGACATATTTTCGACGCTTTTTACTTCAAAAATCGGACATTTCCATGGACAATCTTCATACTGCGCAGCTTCTGAGGTTCAATAAAGATATGTTGTCAATTGTCATGGTTCAATGAAGATATGTTGTCAATTGTCATGGTTCAATAAAGATATGTTGTCAATTGTCATGGTTCAATAAAGATATGTTGTCAATTGTCATGGTTCAATAAAGATATGTTGGCAATTGGCATGGTTCAATAAAGATATGTTGGCAATTGGCATGGTTCAATAAAGATATGTTGGCAA